ATGGCGAGTCAAGTCTAGTGATATATTCTCTAACACGAATCACCTAAGTGTTTGCTTTGGCGTCATCATGCCAATAGGTGTGAGATATCCTATTGCTATCATATAGCATGAGCATAACACTCACAAGTCTAGTCAAATATAGTTAATGTCCATTCTTGACAATGCTATGACTTGGGATATTTAATGATATCATTTATATGCATTAGTGTTTATCTCATATTTTTTGATCAATCACTAATTCAAATGCATATCATATGAGCTTTTATATAATTCTACTCAATCAATAAATATAAATGATAAGAATTAATAGCAAGACTTCTTTTGTTATAAATAATATAAATAATGCAACAATACAATAGTTCAAACTCATCTAAACATGATTGGATCTTGGACACCTAAACTAATAATTAGTAATTTAATTATTAAAATAATTACATATAGTTTAAAATGAATTTGGATCATTCATGGATTTACTATAAACTAACCGATGGATTTTTAAATGAACATTTCGTAGAAGGGATTAATAAATTTATTAATTTTTTTATTAGTCATTTGGAGTATATCGACGGTAATAAGATAAAATGTTTGTGTAAACTTAAAAAATGTCAAAACCATATTTATAAAAATCATGATACTATTAAGTACCATTTGATGAGATATGATTTTGTGTTTGGGTATTATGTGTAGAGAGGTCATAGAGAGAATGAGTCGGTTAATTATAGTGACCATTTGGTAAATTTGGTTCAACTTGAATAAATATTTGATGAACCTCAAGCCAATCAATATCACACAATCATGATGGATGCAATTGGTCCATCATTTAATCCATCTAACATAAATCAATTCCAGAACTTGATGCCTAAGCATTTTATGATTTGATGAATGCATCTAATAGAGAAATCTAGCTTGATTTAAAAAATCATTCATAGTTATCGGCAATGGCTCGTTTGTTATATCTATTGATAATTGCATGATAAAAGACTTTTACAATATAAAAAAATTAGTGGAATTGATGGGTTTAGTCGTTTAATGAATCCACATTATATAAATAGTTGCATAATTTATTGGAGTAAAGACAACGAGAGAATCTCTTGTAAAATCTGTGAACATCCTCGATATTGAAGTCCTTAGTAAGGATCGAATAGAGAAACATATATCTCATATAAAAAAAATGATGTGGTTACGAGAGGATGCATTCATCCACTACTATAGTTGGTGACATGATGTGGCATTTCGAATATGTAGTTGAGGTAGACGTCATGCGTCATTGTTCTAACTCCTTTGCGGGGTAGCATTTCGATCAAACACATTCTACTTTTACATCGAAATCATGAATGTGAGATTGAGAGTCTACATTGATGGGTTTTAGCTTTTTGGTCACTCTAGACAACAATATTCTTCGTAGCTTGTGATTGCAAGATAGAGGGTACTTCATCTCCCAATATCAACATGAATGAGATTTTTAAGAAGGCTGTAGGAGAAGGAGACGGTAAAAAAAGAGGATGTACAAACTCGAATCATAGGCCTCTCATAATTATTCTAATGTTAGCATATCCTTTAGTTCGGCCACTTTGTGGTTCAATGTCGAAAATGAGGCATAGTGAAAGGAAATGGAGGCTCGTGCTACTAGAAGTGTAGAAAAGATCGAACAACTAGAGAGTACCGATACATCGCTCTTAAGCGATATAAATGATTTAAGATAGTATACTTGAGAGCAACATGTGATAATGCGGTATTAATGTTCAATTAAATGTACTAATTAATAGTTTTAACATTCTTGGAGAAGTCCTTTAAGTGGGAGTGAAATATTGAGGAAAGCATCAAGAAAGCATGACGAGTCGACAAGAAAGTGATATTCCAACTTCCTTTATAACGTCAAGAAAACCCCCGAGCCAATATATATCTCACGGGAGATATGGGATGCATGGTATAAAGAATGGGCAAAACCCGAGTTTATTGCCCGATATGAGATGATGGCTCGAAACCACAAGAGTAAGACTAATGGTATCGGAGCTGGTCCATTTAGACATACGGGCGGTTCAATCGGTCATAGGGAGCATGCAATACGCATGATAAATCTTAATCTTAATATATAGGTGTGTGTGTATATGTATATGTGTCTATATATATATATAATGGTTTTTATAATTATTTTAACATAATTAATTAAATATTTAAGTATATTTGTTTCAATTTGCGAGTTGAATCGTGAACTCGATGCTCGTGAGGTTTTCTTGAGGACTCGTAGGAAGAAGATTGATGATCGGTACATATTCATCGATCGAGTTGGTAAGAATTCTCGGAGTAAGTTATTAATTTATAATGTTATTTCATACATATGCTACTTTTATATAACTTATTGATATAGCTATTTAATATTAAAATTTATGCAATTATTTAGTAGATCGTGGATAAAATATTAGAGGAAAAGGTTGCTTAGTCGATAGATGAAGGATACTTTATTGCCTGATATTAACATGAACGAGATTTTTAAGAAGGTTGTTGGATAAGGAGATAGTAAAAGAAAGAGGATGTCTAGACTCGGGTCGTATGCCACTCACTATTACTCTAATGTCAATATATCTTTTAGTTCGATCACTTGGCGGTTCCATGTCGATAATGAGGCACAACGAAAGACATGAAGGCTCATGCTACTAGAAATGCGAGAAAAGATTGAACAACTAGATGGTACTTGTTATATCGCTCTTAGTTACTATAAATGAGTTGAGACGAGTAAACTAGGAAGCAACATGTGATGATTCATCGGATGTTGCTAAATATGCGAGCAAGACAGTTCATCCACCGATCCTTCGATCGACGATCCCATTGATCCTTCGATTGACAACCCTACCGATCATTTCTAGCTTTTATGTTTTATTTTTCTTGTAATATTAACAAATTTTAAAATTATTTCATAATTTGATGTTTTAATAAATATTTCATTTTATATTTTATAGTGATTTTGTACTATTTAAAATTTTATGTACAATGTTTTTTAAGTTTTTAAATTGGAATAACATAATTTAAACAAAAAATTATTTTTGGTAAATATTTAAAAAATTACATATGGAATACCATTGCTAAATTATTAATTAGCGACCATCTTTACAAACGAGTTGCTAATTCTTGACAATTTGTGACGATTGTAGTGATGGTTTTCCAATACGATCGCAAATTTGTCCAAAATCGGTGATTGAATTTAGCATTGATTTGTAAAAACAATCGTTGAATTGTCCAAAATTAGCGACGAGTTTTCCAAAAAAATTAGCGAGGATTTTTCCCTCGCTAAATTAGCAACAATCTTGAAAAATCGAAGCTATTGTTTTAATGAGAAGCTTTTTTGGACTAAATTGGACCATCGCAAAGCTGTTGCTAATTTAGATTAGCAATGGTTTTTCAAAAATTAGGGACGGACTAAACCGTCGATAATTTCCTTTATTTTGGTAGTGATATATATATATATCTATGGCTAAAAGTATCTTTTAGATAATTTGATTCAATTTTTTTTAAAATATTTAAATAATAAATTAAAAAAATAAAATTCCAGGTTTTAGTTTCTTTTATACATATATATAATCAAAATTTATGAGAATCAATTTTATATTAGTTTTTATTTTAATTTATTGACTTCAATATATTCCATGCAACTTAGATGATATATATTTGAATAATTCGTTTTGTTAAAAGTTAACTATGTATCCACACATAATATTAATTATTTATTATTTATTTTTTTATGTTCTAAAATCAATATTTTTAAATAAAATAATTAAAATAATGTTTTAAAAAATCTCTCAATTATTGAAATACGGCTTTTTATGTGAATTTTATTAATTATTTTGTTAATATATATATATATATATATATATATATATTGTTGATTTCGCTCAACTAATATAATTGATTTCTATTAATTATTAAAAATAAGATTTTTTATCGTATCATATCATATGAATTGTTGATTCTATACATGTAATAGTTGTAATATCTAACTGGTGACACCTAGATATGGACTTAATTATTTGTGCTTGAATATATAAAAGATTTGACTTCATCTCGGGCAATGTCAAGTTGTTTAACAACTTATAAAGGTTGTCATTGACGGCAGTGGTTGGTGGCCAATTTCAAGTTACTCCAGCTAAACTGGACAGTTCAATCGGTTGCTACATTTTGTGCCACCCATTATAATTATTCCAATATCTTGGCTCTTGGATAGATAAAAGTTCCAAATGATGGCAAAGAACATCCCCAGATTAGAGTGCATCCATGTTGAACCCATGTGAGCCTTGTCAATGTTTCCTACATAGACTAATAATTTTTTTTTTTAATCTCAAATTAGAGCTTAATTTATTTATAAGCATATGCAAGTTAGTAAGATTCACAAGCAATATTACCAAAACAAAAGACAAAGTAAGGTACTAATACCAGATCAAGTACTAATTAATCACATATAAATAAGCATATATTTAATTAGAATCTAACCGCGTGAACAACTCAAAAACAAAACAAGACCAAAAAATATCTAAAGTTAAGGTTGAGTTGTTGTGCAATCCCTTTTGCCACGTTTCTTTAGATCTAAGATTCCTTGTCGAAAACAACCTTCCCCATCTTCTCCTCTAGCTAATAAAAAGATTGCAATATTGTTGCGATGCCAATTTCTCAATACTGACACCCAACCCACTTCTGACAAATTACAGCATGTTACCGACATGCAAAACCGTGTCGGCGACGCTACCATCATCAACCAAATCATGCCAACTGTACTTTCCAAGATTAGAACATGAACACCAGCAAAAATATTCCAACTGTTGCTTCTTTGTTGCCTACCTTCTCTCTTAACCACCAAACTTTCTTACCCTTCCTTTGAATTCTTTCATTACACCTCATTTCTTCCCTTTCTATTCTCCGCCTCTTTTACATTTCTTTGCTTCTTTCTCTCTTTTTTGTTAAGGCAAACCGGAGGGACAAGGGATTGTTGTGCCACATTATAACAAATTAATATGGCACCACGTCTCTTCGCTTGCTTTGGCAAAGGAAACGATTCCTCTTCAAGAAACCAAAACCATGCAAATGTAACAGTTGATGTATCTGCGGAGGAGCAGCGTCGTGGAGGGGCTGTTTTGGTGGAGTTGTTTTCTTCGCAGGGATGTAAAACATCCCCGGAAGCTGAGTTGTTGGTTTCAAGGCTAGGGAGGGGTGATTTTCAACTTGAAGTGCCTGTTATTGTTCTGGCTTATCACGTTGATTATTGGGATTATATGGGGTGGAAAGATCCTTATGGGAGCAGTCAGTGGACAGTTAGACAAAAGGCTTATGTTGAGTCTTTGAAGCTTGATACCATGTTTACACCACAAATTGTTGTTCAAGGGAGAACTCAGTTTGTGGGAAATGAGGAGGAGGCTTTGTTGTCTTCCATTGTCAACGCACCAAGGTTTCCGGCTCCAACATTTCAGGTTAGTATTGCCATTTTATGTTAGTATATTTTTAGCTCTTTTTTAACCTTTCTTTAGCTTTGTCATTTTTTGATAGTTTTTAGGCCTGTAGTCATGGATCTTGTAATTTTGATGTAATGGGGGTAACTGATAGCTCTTGCTTTATAGAGATATATAGATAGCCTGGCCCAAATATATAATTGTGACATGCTTATTCCTTAATCACTAGTTTAGGATATGTGATAATTAATCATGAAATGAGACCCAAAAAAAAAAAAAAAAAAAGGTGTGCATGATAACATGGTATTTTTAATTTCATTTGCTATTATGTGGTCTTAGATTGCAAATTATTGTTCATGATTGTTACAAGTCTGCTTGATTGATGATTGTTAATAAAGCTAGGGGAAATTAGAAGCTGATCTCACCATTCAAATGTTGAGTCATGACTCATGACCAATGAGCTAGCCGTGAGAGAATTAGAGAAAAGACAAAAATTATATATGAAAACATGTTCAAACAACCGAATTAAATCGTTTTAAGCTTTTCCAGTGATCTGAAACATTAAAATTTTCTGTCACAGAGTCCTTGAAAAAATCGGTTTTAGGGATGTGAATGTTCTAATTCGGCTAAACCACTTCTGATTCTTGTTTGAATAAAGTCTTAAATAGAAAAATTTTGACACAATTAATTTTTTTGTAACCATAAACTCTGATGATCTCATGATCATAACAACAATTCTGTTGTAACAGGCAACATTTCTAAGGCCTACGCCAGATTGCTTGCAAGTCTCTTTATCAGGAGCTTTAAGGGCTAAAGTTGATCATAATGGTGTCACTGTCATGGTGGCTCTTTATGAGAGTGGATTAGTGACTGACTGTCCAAGGGGAGAGAACAAAGGGCGTGTCCTGTCAAATGACTTTGTTGTTAGAAAGCTTGAAAAGCTCTGCACTGTCAAAGACATCTCTGTCAAGAAGACAGTTTCAGGAACTGTTAATTTTGCTTTATGGGAAGACTTCAATAGCAGCAAATGTGGTCTTGCTGTCTTTGTTGAAGACAGCTCCCGTCAAATTTTTGGGTCACAGAGCATTCAGTTTCCGGACACTATATGAGACATTCATTTCAGATTGAATCAAAGACTGCATGCTGGTTGTGATGGATATTGGATACTTGTGTACAGGATGTGTTAGACAATTTTTTTTTCTTTTATTTTTTGGTCCTAATTAGATGGATAGAAACAGTTTCGCGGTTTGATGGTATAAATGGTGTTTACAGATTTGGATTTAATTACGTACTTTCTTGATATCTTTATTTTGTGTGGGGAAATGGAATTGGAAATTTGGAACGAGCTAGTTGATTGCATAATATGATTTTCTTGGTATTCCTTTCAAGTAATATATAGCATAATGTCCATATCGGTATGAATCACCCACATGATCAAATGGCCTTGAATTGAAGTGCTAGAAATAAGCATGCCAAAAAAAAAAAAAAAAAAAAAAAAAAAAAAAAATTTCTTTGTTATCTTTATACCTTTTTCCTTTTTTAGGGTAATCATCTTTATAATAATTGCTAGGTCAGGTAATAGCTTCTAATTAATGCAGTCACGTAAAGGAGCAATAAATATATAGGCACACAGGATTTCAAATGTTAAATTCACAATGAACTCAAATACAATTTCTATTTTCAGGTTCTTGAACATCAACAAGACCACTAGTTTCTTGTAGAGAGATTTTTCTTCTCTTTGGAAATGCTCAGAGAGCGATTCTTAATCACTGCTTGTGTGAATTTGGATGTTGTCTTCAAGTGCTTAAATTTAATCACATAGATGTCCATCTCCTGTGGTTTATAGGCATTTATATTTGAATATTTAGTTAACTCAATTGGGACCCCAACAACTCAAATAAAACACCAATCTCAATGATTTCTCTGCTGCCTGATGCTTCTCACTAGATGTTCTGCCACTTTCTCTTCTTGGATCAAAAGAATTGGAGGGGGTTTAGCTTGCAGTGCTGATGATCCTATTGCAGCACTCCAATTCTCCGGAAGAACTGGCGATTTGGGTATGATCATATGATCTTTGAGCCCAAATGCAGCTCCTAGAGTGAAAACAATGCAAGCCTTGTTGGTAAGCTTCATAGTCAAAGTTAGGCTCTAAAGTAAGAAGTTTGAGGCTAAAGTGTAGGGTTGTTCTCTAACTGAGAAAAATGAATTATATAGACCTATAATGCCTAGTTGCGAGTAGAAGGTGGCAAGGTTCGAATTCATTTGGATAGGAATATATGCTATTCTGTGTACATGGACTCATGCATCAGTATCTTCCTTCCCATGTTGTCTTATTCCTTTTTTCTTCCTTCCAGCTTTGGTTCAATAAGTAATCCTGGGTATTTCTCACTGTGCCATGTGTTTATGCCAAAAAAAGGTCCTTATTCTCTATCAATTAGCAACCAAATTCCCTTTAGATGATGCTTTCCTACCTAATTGATCATATAAAGATTAAAATGAATTGGAAAAGTAATCAGATTTCTAATTGGTTTTCGATCAAATTGCAATTGTCACTTGTTTCTTACCGTTTGAAAGTATAGCCAATTCCAAATACTGGTAGTAACTACACAATCATCCCCTTACTAAAAATTTAATTCATGCATGACAAAAAGTCTAAATATGAATTTAAGGTCTATTAATATATAGGCATAACAAAAAAAAAAAAAGATTTAATTCAACAATATATATATATATATATATATATATATATATATATATATATATATATATATATATATATATATATATATATATTAGAAACAAAGAATATTGTAAATAAAAAGAGTAGACATTAATTCTCAAAAGAAAAAAATGTACTAAATTAAGTATTAAATAAAATTTATTAAAAAAAATAAAGAAAAAGAGGCTAAAGAAATATGAGCAATAAACGATAATATATATTGTGATCAATTTGTATTATAAAAGAATTCACTTGACATTAACGTTTTATTGATTTTTTTTTTTTTTTTTTTAGAATTTTGTGTTTGTCAATAATACCCATGTAATTGATTTAATTTTTAATCAAATTATAATTTTTCTAAACTAGATATTTTATTTTATAAATTATACTATCAACTTAATAATTTAATAAAATCAATATAAAGCTTGTAACATAAATCCTACAAAATCACATGTTTTACTAGAACTCAATTTTCTATCCGTTGTGTTTTATTATGAATATATCTCATTTTAACTTATAAATATGATTCCTAATCTACTTTGAACACATAATCCCACTCAAATTAGCTGACATAGTATGTCATCAAATGATTTCTAGTTTAATTACTATATAAAACCTTAATAAAATTCCAAATTTCTTGTGTAATTAGTACATAGAAATTTTGTGGTCTTGTAAAGTAAACATTGGTATAAGAAAATAATCTATGTGCTATAGTCTTTTTATACTGCTTAATAACAAGATTCATGGTTAAATTAGCGTGTACAAATTTAGTCAAATTCTATTTAAAAATATGATTTATCGGACAATTGATACCCCACGCTTTGCGTGGGAATACATTAATGAAAAACAATATTGATGCCAAAATTAAAATTGCCTTGTTAGAAATTAGCAAGTTATTAGTCAGGGATGGGTTGAATGTAAGATCGCAAATATTATGCTACAAAGATAACAATCGAGTATAGTTACTTTTAATGGTCAATTTTTTACCCCCATCATTTTTTTTAATTTTTTTTATTATTCTAAAAAACTATAACAAAGAGAGAGAGAGAGAAAAAAAACACCAAACAAAAAAAAAAAAAAAGGAAAAAAAGAGATAAATTAAAATAATTAACTCAAATTAATTTTGAGGTTTCTAATTAAAAGAAATAGAAAGTTTGGGAGAAAAAACAAATCCAATTGATGGTACAATTGAAAGACCCCAAATCTCCAAACCTTAATTAAAATAAATGAAGGGCACAATTGAAAGAATTTTTTTTTTAAAAAAGTTCTGATTAATTGTAATTTAAGGGTTCCAATGAAATTCAAACAATAAGAATTGCACTTAAATTGATGAATTATGAGAAATTAGAGATCAAAATTGACTTTCTCCAAAAAGCCCTAAAACCAACCTATAAATGCCCCATCTTTTGCATTTTTTGATACTTTTCACTATTTATTCATCATTTTAACCAAATTGTGTAGCCAAACCTCCCTCTTCCGGAACCGAATATCTCTCTTCTTTCATCACTACTACCAACAAGCTTCAACAATCGACCATCGTCTCCACTAGCTCCAATCATGATAGCCACCACTACTAGCTCCAATCATGACGACCACCACCACTAGCTTAAAATAGCCCCTTCTCCATCTCTAACTCCGAACTCTCTCTCTCTTCTCTCTCTCTCTCTCTCTCTCTCTCATGTAGTCGAACCTACTTCTCTCTCCTCCAACTGAATCTATCATCCCTTACCTCCTCCTCATTTGTGACCAAACCCGTATCATCCTTTAATCATGATAGCCACCATCACCGACCCAAAATAGACCCCACATCTCTAACTCGAAACTTCATCTCTCTCTCTACTCCTTTGCTAAAAATTCCCACACTAACTAGCCCTCTCTCATATAAAACCGCATCATCCTTCAATCGTGATAACCACCATCACCAACCCAAAATAGCCCCCACATCTCTAACCCGAAGCTCTTTCTCCTTCTCGCCCTTCACTAGAAGCTCGGATGCTAACTAGCCCTCTCTCATATGGACATCCCACGCTAGCCTCCTCCCTCGCCCCAACAACCTCTCTCAAAACCCATCGGAGACCACACCAATAACCCCTTACAACTAGCCACAACCTCTATCCAAAAATCCCTCGGTCGGTACCTTTCATCCACTATTTTGATCGAGAAAAACATGCAAAATGGTTTTTTTTTTTTAATGTTGATAGTAAAATCAAAACTAGATTAATTATGAACGGAATACATAAAAAAAAATGTTATTAGGATTAATGAGTTTGGCAAGAACAATATGATATTGTAGACTATATTTGTGTTTGTTTTAGGTAGAAAAAACATAGCAACTTCATTGTTGCCAAATCCCTTTAAGTTGCAGCAACCTTGGTAATTTTTGGAGATGTTGGCAATTTTCAAAGGTGCTAGTAAATTTACGGATAACTTTGGCAAATTTGTAGTAACTTTAGCAAGCATTAGTGACTTTCACTATTTGTAGTGATTTTGGAATAACCTTCGATCACCTTAGAAGGACCCATACAACATTTTGACAATGAGCGGTTACTCTTCTTTCTTGACTAACTGAATAATTATTTCTCATCGGAGATGATTAGAGTAGAATTGACCCTCAAATCAGATCCTTAAACCTTTCGAAACATTTTTAGGTAAAACTTCTAAAATAATTTTACACCTTTAAAGTGTGAATGAAAACCGTCGTATTTCATTTATATTTTTATCGTTTAAATATCAATGAAATGAATGTTGCTGTAATCATGATTATTTATGAACTACCCCATTTAAAAATTTTCATTTAAAGTGCAAGATTGCGCATGTTTTGTAGTTTGATTTATTTGGTATGTATGGTTGCGATGTGCCTAAACGTGTAGTATTTATATCTAAGGCATATTATCTAATTTCAATAGTTATCAAAATTATTTTACACGTGTTCTTTTTGTTAGAAAAAAGACCATAAGTTACTTCCCACATATGTGAACGAAGTCGTCAATGGCCCCAAAATCATTTTTCCTCAAAAATTGATTCTAAAAATGAAATTATTAGCAAATTTTCATTTATGTAAAAAAGTGACCGATGATTGTGAAATCATTGTGCATGTATTTTGTTCGTCGGAAAATAAGTCATTAATGACTTTCCATCTATGTGGACGAAGCCACCAATGGCCCCAAAATTATTTTTCCTAAAAAACAATGATTATGGAAAAAAAGTTATTGATAACTTTTCACTTATGTGATAAAGCCATTGATGATTTTAAAATCATTTTTCATGTGTTCTATTCGTCGGAAAACATGCCACTCGATAAATTTCCACCTATGTGGATGAAGCCATTAGTGGGCCCAAAACCATTTTTTCTCAAAAAATGACTATGGAAACAAAGTTATTGGTAATTTT